ATTAAGGTGAAATTTGATTGGTTGCTTTGATTTATTGAGAGTTCCACATTGCCGCTGGTCTCTGCATCCCCTTATGAAATAAGCATTGTGTTGAAATAACAAGGAGGCAAGGCGCAATGTGCAAAGTGCAGTAACCCATAGGCAATCCGCACTGTCCTTTCATTGTTCGGGCAACTCTAAAACAAAGAAAGGTGAAAGGTAATTGGTGGTTATGGGTTACTTGTCTTTAAAAACCATTACCCTTTGCACTCCCCTATTAAGTGCGGCCAAATAACACGTTAGAGAGGCATGGACTGCTGTCAATTACACAGTTTATAACATTTCGAAGTGAAAGAATCTTAGAATGATATATATATCACACTGCTGTTCTTTGGATCATTAGGCTTTTTCACATCAAATCTGTTACAGTAAACCGGCCATAGTTTAGCTGATACAACACAAATTCAATACTACGTACACCAATCTTTTGATGTCAAGCTGATGAAAAGAAAAGATTGTTTAGGGGTGTCAAAAGGCACTTTCCAGCATGCTGGACAATGTCTGACATCTTCTTAATTGGCTGTAAAACTGGTGACTGCTGAATGCCAATGAAAAATATAGGCTGTTGATTTATTAGTCCTTGGTGATCATCTGAGGAGGATACTCAGGGCCGGATTTACTTTCTCTGCTGCCCCAAGGCCAGGTTCCTCAATGCGCCCCCCTACCCTCCAACCCTCCACCCCCCACCCCATGGAGAATGGCAGACCTGCAGGCTGCATAGAGGTGATCTCGGCGACATTACCAAGATCACTTGTACAAAACAAGCGGCGGCTTACCCGCTGTACATTTAGCTCTGCTTGCCCAAAGCCGGGCTAAATGTAGAAAACAAATTCCCACCTGGCGCATGGAAATGCATGTCCCGGGCATCGGGAGATAGGAATTCCACACCCCTGCTGCCCCTCTACTCCCTGCTGCCCCAAGGCCGGGCCTTGGTTGGCCTTGTGGGAAATGCGGCCCTGATGATACTGGGAATGTGTTGCTGTTCAAGAACTGCAAAGTCCAGTGTGTCCTGCAAGGAAAGGATGCGTAGCCAGGTCTGTAGATGTTATATGCCCACTTATTAACCCCATGTCTCACTTTATGAAAACCTTTCATTGGATGCTGCGAGCCATTCACTGGTTGGTGGTCAGGGGTGGTTTTAGGAGTGTAACAGGGTTTGCAAAGCAACATGGGAAGCAACATCTACCTAGAGGTAGATTTTTATTCAAGGAAAGTTGTCTTCACTCTGCTCACTCTGCTCATGCCTAGTCAGAGGTTCCAACACGAACATCCAAGAACCCTATTGTCTCACTTGTTGGTTTATGGTCTTCCTGGTTTCAAGAGACCTCTGGCAATGCACAATATTGGGGATATGCCCCCAAGAGGATACCCATCAGGCTATCTTTTATTCTTTTTACATTTGTCATATTACGCTGGACAATTGAGCAATCATGACAATTCACAGGCAACAAACTGGCAGCAATACACAGGCAACAAACTGGCAGATATGAACATACACAGACTTGAAACAGGAATTTGTTATAATACCCGGGCAGAAGAACGATAAACTACATCAGGAAACAATACGCAGGCAGGTGTGACAATATGTGGGCTACAAACAGGCAATTCTGGCAATGAACCATGTTTACTACAATATCTAACATCATGTTCCCAACTAGCGAATAGCTGCTTTTTTGGCACCAGAACAGGTCAAGGATGGTTAAAAGGAGCTTTCTTAACCCTCAGGAGCCTAATAAAGCCATTTGTACCTTTAAACACCATTAAAATAATATTATTTGCACTGTCTCCATCGACTCCAATGGTACTGAACTACTTTTTTAGCTAGTATTCTAAAAATGAATATTTTTTTTCATATTCCCAACCTTCCCAGTTGCATGAGCTTTTTTCCTATATGCAGGAAAAAGGGGGAAGATCAGCTGAGCTGTGTGAGGTAGGGCCCTTGCCGGCTTAGTAGCATAGAAGCTTTTCTAACCTGTCTGATCATACTTTCCGGAGATCTGCTGACACCGACATTGTCTATATATTGTCTTGATGAGAACAGCTGGATCAAAAAGACTAGCCTGGTGGTGGTCAACTTTCTTGATATAAGGGGTCTCAAGTGCAGCCCCTGGCATCCCTAAGGGCCACACATAATATTCAGTGAATGTAATACTACAGAAAGCTGCAAGAGACTGCAGACATACAAAAGGAATTGGTCAGAAACTATGAGTTTCCTAACTGAGCTGATCAGAGATTACAGGCTTCCTACATGAGATGGTCAGAGAGTACAGGCTTCCTACACAAGATGGTCAGAGACTACAGGCTTCCCAATGAGATGGTTAGAGACTACATACTTCCTACATGAGATGGTCAGAGACTACATACTTCCTACATGAGATGGTCAGAGACTACAGGGTACCTACATGAGATGGTCAGAGACTACAGGCTTCCTACACGAGATAGTCAGAGACTACAGGCTTCCTATATAAAATGGTCAGAGACTACAGGCTTCCTACATGAGATGGTCAAAGACTACAGGCTTCCCACACAAGATGGTCAGACACTACGGGCTTCCTAGATGATCAGAGGCTACAAGCTTCCTACATGAGATGTTAGAGAGAACAGGCTTCCTAATGAGATGGTCAGAGACTACGGGTTTCATACATGAGATGGTCAGAGACTACAGGCTTTCTACACAAGATGGTCAGAGAGAGAGAACAGGCTTCCTAATGAGGTGATCAGAGACTACAGGCTTCCCACATGAGATGGGCAAAGACTATACTTCCTACATGAGATGGTCAGAGACTACAGGCTTCCTAATGAGGTGTTCAGAGATTACAGGCTTTGCTACATGAGATGGACAAAGACTATACTTCCTACATGAGATGACCAGAGATAACAGGCTTTCCTACATGAGATGGTTAGAGACTATACTTCCTACATGAGATGGTCAGAGTCTACAGGCTTCCTGATGAGATGGTAAGAGACTACAGGCTTCCTAATGAGGTGGTCAGAGATTACAGGCTTTCCTACATGAGATGGACAAAGACTATACTTCCTACATGAGATGGTCAGAGACTACAGGCTTCCTACATGAGATGGCCAGAGACTACAGGATTCCTACATGAGATGGTCAGAGACTACAGCATTCCTACATGAGATGGTCAGAGACTACAGGATTCCTACATGAGATGGTCAGAGACTACAGCATTCCTACATGAGACTACAGGTTTCCTGATCTGACAGTGTGTGGTCAATTTTAAAGTAACCATATACTGCCCAATGTTCATGATCGAGACACCACATGCAATACTCAGCAGTGAATGGATTAATACCTGTGTGGCAATGGGCCATCCTGTGAGCTAACTTGGCCCCCAGTATGTGAATGTCTGTGAGGTTGGGACCTTAGATGGTAAGCTCCTTGTGGACAGGGAGTGATGTGAATAAACAGTATGTAAAGTGCTGCGTAAAATGACAGCGCTATATAAATATCTGTCATAAATTAAGTAAATTAATAAATAAACATCCTCTGCCCTATTAATCCCTATTAAAAATGGAGCCTTAGTGGGGGTGAATCGAAGTAATAGAGACTGTCCACTTAAAGTTATTGTGTACTAAACTTATTTCTGGCTGTACATGGCTTGAAGTTTAGAAGTCAAGCAGCACCACCCGGCTCCACACAGTTCAACTGAAAAATGGAAGAACCCAGGTAGAAATGTATCAGCCAAACAGTGACCTCATCCATTCAGACGCAGTCACACTTTGGGTCTCCAGACAGGCGCTGTTGCCAACTGTCTGAATGCAATAGCCAGCAGGGGATATCCTTCCATTTATGCTGTTTAGTGTGGATGGGGGAATCAAGCATCTTTTCTGGGAGACTAAGGGTGAGAAAACTAGCGGTATATGGCTATCTGTAGTAAAAAAAAAGATAACGCTGTGTTCATTTTGAATGTCCAATCATGTAAAAGAGAAATAAAAAAAAAAGAAGTCATCTTGCATATGATTGAATGAATAAAGTGAACAGCATAGCTTCAACTTATGTACTAAGCCCAGTGAATGCAGCTGACTATCTTTATTCCTTTAGTAATGTAAGCCCTTTACCTGTTAGATGGGGCACTTCATGGTGATGGATCCTGTATAAGGGAAACATGAAAACTGATCACAAAAAGTTATCTAACAATCTCAGAAAAGACAATGTACAGATCTATCTATCTATCTATCTATCTATCTATCTATCTATCTATCTATCTATCTATCTATCTATCTATCTATCTCTTTCTCTCTTTCTATCTATCTATCTATCTATCTATCTCTTTCTATCTATCTATCTATCTATCTATCTCTTTCTATCTATCTATCTATCTATCTATCTATCTATCTATCTATCTCTCTCTATCTATCTATCTATCTATCTATCAATCTATCTATCTTTCTCTCTATCTCTCTCTCTATCTATCTCCCCCCTCTTTCTTTCTTTCGTTCTTTCTTTCTTTCTTTCCTCCTGTTATCTATCTATCTGACTATCTATCTATCTATCTATCTATCTATCTATCTATCTATCTATCTATCTATTATCTATCTACATATCTTTCAATCTACATATTTCTTTATCTATATATCTATCATATATCCATCTATATTGTGCCACATAACACGGTCTACTGTAAAAGGTAAGATTGCAAAAAGATGCTTGTATAATATAACAGTGATTCCATATCTATCTATCTATCTATCTATCTATCTATCTATCTATCTATCTATCTATCTATCTATCTATCTATCTATCCCCTATACTCTATCTGTGAATCATATGCCATTCAGCATGGTGTTTTCAGTGAGAGTCTTGTAGAGTAGGATGTGGAATCTTTTGAAATCAGCCATCCATGTGCAAACCCCTCCTCCCAGCCCCCCTGAAGCACCTGCAGCCAATCCATGGTGTGTGTAGTGTACCAGGCAGCCCTGAGACCCCTCCATGGGATAAATCCTCCCCCAGACCCTTTCCTTGGTGGACAAACTTCGTGTAAAGTGAGAGGGTGAGAGGTCCTCCGGAGACAAGACACAGCTGGGAGCATCCTCTGTCTTCAACATCTGTATGTCCTGCCTCTATAGACTACCTACTCTATGTGTCTGTCTGTCTGTCTGTCTGTCTGTCTGTCTATCTATCTATCTATCTATCTATCTATCTATCTATCTATCTATCTATCTATCTATCGATCGATCTTCTTTCTGTCTCTCTATCTGCATGCCTTCTAATCTTTCTAATTGTATTAAGTTCGATCTTCTGCCAATGTATCTATATGTTTTCCATGTATCAGTTTATCTTTGCAATCATCTCTTGCTATGATGTGTTGAATACATATTGTACCTGTATGTGTTGCATATGACCCGGTATGTTGGGGTTCTGGGTCCGGAGTAGAGGGTCTTTGATGGTCTGGCCCCATAAGTGATTTTCAAATGATGGAGTTATCACCACTTTCAGTATGTTGTAACCATCTCATTTTTCAGTATCTGTACCCCCCGTACTGCCTGGGATGCTTGTGCTTTCTGTCCTTTACTGTCTGTTCACCCCGATTTATCTATGTACCTGTCCTATTGCACCCCATATAGCCTAGAAATCAGTGTGCCTTTAACCCCTGTGCCCCCTTTCATGAGATTCCTGTACTCCCTGTGCACCCTTGGGTTACTATGCACCATGCCCTCCATGGGGAGCCTTTGCCCCCTGCTCTTCTTGGCATTCCTCTGCCCACATTCCTCTCTGGGTTTTCTCAGCTCCCCCCCCCCTCTATAGGGTTCCAATGCATCCTGCCATCCTTGGGGAGCCTGTGCCCCCTGCTCTTCATGGAGTTCCTCTGCCCCCTTTCCTCCATGGGTTTCCTTATTCTCTGCCCTCCATAGCGATCCGGTGCCTCCTGCCCTCCAAGGGGTTCCTTTGCCCTCAACCATCCATAGAGTTTTTATGCCCCCTGCCTTGCAACGGGGATCCACTCTCCGCTTTGCCTTCCTCGGGCTTCCACACCCCCTTGCCGTCCACAGGTTTCCTCTCCCCCTTGCCCTCCACCGGGTTCCTCTCCCCCTTGCCCTCTAGGGTTCCTCTCCCCCTTGCCCTCCACAGGGTTCCTCTCCCCCTTGCCCTCCTCAGGGTTCCGCTCCCCCTTGCCCTCCATAGGTTTTATGTGCCCTTTTCCCTCTGTGGGGTTCCTGTACCCCCAGATCTTTGTGCCCTGTACATTGAGTGAATTGTGTCTCCTCCACAGGTCACTTGGCACGGTGGATCTCCTCTACTCCCCCTATTGGACTTACCTGAGGAGGACACCGGCCATAGGACAGCTCAGGACTATGCCTCATACCAGCCTCCGCTCCGGTGAGTAGAGCCCTGTCTATGCAACAATGATGTATATACTCCATGTGTGTCATGAACAAAGGCTTATTATACCAGAGGAAGCTCTCCAGCACTAACTAAGTGGACACCAGCTAGATTTGACCCACTAAACTAATACTGGATAGGAGCAGCCTGGACTGAAGAGCTGACAATCTATTTGGCGGATATGTCACATAGAGGTGGCTGGCGGATTCCGCCCTGTGCTTGGGACATTGTACAGATTGTGTGACTGTTAGAGCTCACCCACCAGATCTGGATTTGTCTATATATCTATCTATCTATGAGGGGTGACAGGGGCGACCGGCTGCAGGCTTGTGTGCTGGGATTGTAAGAGGTGTGACTACCCTATCGAGCGATCACCCCCTATACAATGATCTCTCTATAGGACATGTAGGACAATTGTCACTATCTGTCTGTCTATCGATCAAAGTGTTTTTCTATCTGAACATTGAACATATCATTAGATAACTATATAGATCTCTGTCTATAATCTATCTATCTATCTATCTATCTATCTATCTATCTATATATCATCTATCTATCCATCTCTCTCTCTCTCTCTCTCTCTCTCTCTCTCTCTCTCTCTCTTATATCTAAACATGTATGTATGTATGTATGTATGTCTGAATGTGTGCATCTATCTATCTATCTATCTATCTATCTATCTATCTATCTATCTATCTATCTGTGTATTGATCTGTGTATTGATCTGTGTATTGATCTTTCTATCGATCTGTCTATCCTTATCTTATTCCGGCCACCTGAAGGAAAGATTTCCTGTGTCTGGTTGATACAATGTGTCTGTGGATATATTCTGGATGTCCGCTCCTCTGGTATACAATTCTGATTCTGAGATTTGTTATATCCAATCGAATTGTACCAATCTCAGTTGTATGTTAGTTTTCAGTGGGACATGTTAAGGTGTCCAGTGATGTCCCATAGACCTCCCATAGACCTGGACTGTGTGATGTCTTCAGCTTTTTAAATTGCATATGTAAAGCCAATTGAACGGCTGGAAGATGAAAGGTGAACACATGACTGTAGGGTAACTTACAGTCTAACTATATACACCAAGCGATGTGTGTCTATTAGATGAATTATACGAGTGTCACCTGCAGATATCTGTGTGTACAGGTAGAGGTGGCAGGAGAGCAGGGGTGACTGTATCCAGGGGCTGGTGTATAGGTGATCATAGAGCTTTGCATATGTACACCCTCCTTGTGTTTTATTACCGCCATCCACTTCTATTTATTCCAATCTTCAAAATTGCATTGTCCTAATTTACTAAGCTTATAAGCATCCAGTGCCCCCCACCCCCATCTATAAATCTACAATGATTCCCTCTGTCCCTGTTCTTTATATTCTCCTTTACCAGGCTGAGAGCAATTTCCGATTAGGGTAAAATTATTATTTCACACAATGATCCTCTCAGTCCCTACCACTGTGATGTGATAAACTTGTACATAAAGACCAGAATCACACAGAATTTGCCCGGGTGGCCGGGAGGGGAAAAGCCTTGTTGTGTCCCCTGACAATGACACTTTAACAGCCCTCCTGATGGATGCAGCTCAGGGGGAGATCAGGGAGGACCGCTTTGTTTTTATGTCATTTCAGCGACGTGGATTTGGTTTCTCCCTTTTAAAGTGGATATTTGTATTATTATGTGTGAGGAGGTGGAGGGGGTGCTGGGAGGTCATAATTCACAGCTCACTCCTAGGCTGGCACCGGACCCAGCAATGACACAGCTATGCTATCCCTGTATGCAAGGAAAAAGCTATTCTTCTGCT